TTTAGATTTAGATTTCTTCATACATTCTTATATAGTTCTATATTGTGTATTTTGTTGTACAGTTATTTTATTTTCAACTTTAATTTATATATTTATCTTTATCTTATTCTTCCCAGTTAAATTTACCCTTCATTCTAATTTGTGTTGTACAGTTATTTCATTTTTAACCTTAATTTATATTTTATTCCTTCCTAGTTAAATTTACCCTTTTTAATTTTTCATATTTATTTCCTATCTTATTCATAGCCTTTTCCTTTTTTGTTTTCTTTAGGTCACGAGCAGTTGTCCAAGCATTTCACTACATATCGTACTGTGTATGACTGTGTACGTGACAAATAAAATTTGAATTTGAATGAATTGAAATGAATGGAGGGCAAAGGGTGCCTTTTATTACGGTAAAAGTAAAATATGAACACTAAAGAAAAATTCTCAGTAAAAATATCTGTTAAAAAAAACACTTCTCAAACCTTGATACATTGCATGTGTGTTTTTTCCTAAGTCAGAATTAAATTTAAGCAGTGAAACAGTGAGTGACAGTGTTTATAAGTTCTTTATACTGAGTCTTACTATAGTTGTCAGTGTGTTTATTTTACGCGTTCGTGATAAACACACACTTATATATAAATTGGGGTGTTCGTGATTCAAACAAGTACTTTTGCCAACTCGCAGTATTTTTTATTGTATTTATTTTAGTTCTAACAACCAAATGCAGTGTTTATTTTACATACTGAATCCAAAATTCGGCGGTTGTGTTTGCAGTGTGGGGTGGAAGCCTGGATGATTCTAGCCCTCAGTGAGTTAACATTTAGACGTTGACTTCTTAAGTTTTGAGAGTGCCAGTTTAGGAAGCCAACGTATGACTGAGGACCTTTTTTGTTATTTTACAAGGAAAATGTTCCAGATTAATGTCTGCATCATTGATGTACTGGTTCATAGCTGTTTAGCCATTATTGCGGTGGCATTTCATGCCAACAGATGTATTCATCAGTGTTAGGAAGGTTATAAGGACTATAAAGGTCAAGGTGAAAATAAAGAGAAAAGCTCCTTTCTCCTTCGGCTTAAGTTTGAGAAATCTGACCATTGACTGTATAAAAAGGTGGATGCTGGCACTGTGAAGTCATCACTTTGTCCATTTTGAAGTCTGAACTTTAAGTTTATAGCTGATGTATCTTCATTTATCTTCATTTTCTTGATCCAAAAGTGACCATGACATGTTCACTAGCATGCTATGTACATTATATACGGGAAATTACCCCCTAACTTTAGTAAGCTCGGTTAGCGATGCACATTAACAGATACCTGCAAAGTAATGGGGACATAAAATACTAGAACAACCATCCAAGCATGATTTCGTCTGACTCTGAAAATCTGATATGGAAACAGCGATGTTAAAATCACAGTGGCTACATCTCTCATATAGGCTACATTTATCACACTAACAGAGAAACATCATTAATATAAAGTGACATGATATAACCAGAAAAAAAGAGGAAAAGAAAAATATTGATACTTTTTACAACAACTAAGTGTTCTTGGGATTATCAGAGCTCTTGCGTGAAAGCAGAAATCAATCCTGCAACCATTAACTCCTGACTCGTCCAGTGTTAACCAGTATCTGCTCTTCATTAACAAATGTGTTTGATTGGAGCTAAAAATAAATAAATAACATAACCATTCATTTCCAAAGCAGAAACATTTGTGATGCAGCAACATAAAATGTATATTCAGAAAGAAAAATAAAAGTACTGTTCTGAGTCTTGTGTGATAACCTGTGTGCTCCTGATAGTGCTTTCAGTGCAGCGTGCAGGATTTCTTTCTCAGTTATGGTCCACACTGACACCTTGTGGTCTGTGGGATTTCTGCTTTGCCTAACACAATAAATCTCAGCGCTCAGCTGCTGGTTTCTTTACATTTGTTTTTCCTTTATGTTTGAGAATGTCACAGCCAGTACCGTCACGAACATCCTTCACACTTTGCCAGTAGGAAAATCAGGACGTGTTTTGCTTGCCTGCCTTTAACCCAGTTGTCGCCTTTTAGGGAAATCAGGTGTCATTTGTACTGTGTGCGCTGTAAAGTCTGTCATTTTTGTTGGCCTTCAAGCAGCAGCTTTACACACCTGGTAAGCACAGACTTTGAGTTTCAGTGTTTTTTGTTGTCTGATTATATTCATAAATGTCATTTCATGTCATGTCTGTTGTCGTCTTCTTATTTAAGCCATATTTTTAAAGAAAAAGTTAATAATACACAGATTTTTAAGGTCACAATGTTACAACTGATTCTCAAAAATGCTTGTGTTTTGAAAACTCCGTTAGTACAGTAAAGATTCTCTTCTCTTTTTTAAAAAAATCTTTTTGAAGATCAAAATCAATAAATAAAGTTGCATATGTTTTTTTTATTTCCTGGTAGGACAACTAAGTTGAAACTGTATCAAAAAATATAAAAATGTAAATGATTAAAACACATTTTATTATACAGTAGGCATTTCTGTATTTATATAATACCCTAGCATTTATATTACAACATATAGACTTATTGGTCTCTTTATTAGGTACACCTGTTTAACTGTTCGTTGACGCTGATATCTAGTCAGCCAATCACATGCCAGCATCTCAATACATTTAGGCTTGTAGAATGATCAAGACCATCTGCTGAAGTTGAGAAGAAAGGTGATTTAAATGACTCTGAATGATGCATAGTTGCTGGTGCCAGACACGCTGGTCTGCTGGTCTTTCCCCATGAACATTTCTGGAATTTACAGAGAATAGTTTGAAAATGAAAAGATATCCAATGAGTGGCAGTTCTCTGGGCAAAAATGCCTTATTGTAATAATTGTTATAATAATTAAGGCAGTGCTAAAGGGAAGGAGAAGAGGGAGGAGGTTTCAAATACATAGTGTACCTAATAGTGTTTGGTGAGTGGATATGTAAAACATTTGAATCTTTAAACCTCTATTGGCAGCTTTTCACTGATTTTCTTTTCTCTCTGTTTTCAACTACAGTCTGGTAAGATGGAGAATTTATCCAGCAATGCCACATTCAACTCCAGCAAAGCTGAGCAATGTCTTTTTGCACCAACTCACATAGTGATGCTCTCAGTGATTGACATCTTTACTTTTATCATCGGGGAAGCAGTGGTAGGGAAACTGCTGTGGATCATCTTCACATCCAAGAAGGCTATAGATATCCTCAACTGTAATTTAGCTATCTTCCACACTGTGCATTATTTTACATCCTTTGTTCATTTAATTTACCTGTTTTTGCTACCACAGTACCAGATAATACTGCTCAAGGTTTTGCTTACCTACGCACAAACAGGAGGCGCATCAAGTTTGGTTTTTATATGCATGGAGAGATATATTGCTGTGGTTTACCCCACATCTTACCATCTGCTGAATAAATACAAATTCAGGGAGATGTGTGCTCTGACAGTGTGGCTCCTTACTGCAGTTACTGTTTTGACAAGTAATCTAATTAATATCCCCTCTCTGACAGCTAAGGTATTAGGAGCTATCCCACGTTTTCTGGTGTTATTCAGTTGCACAATGATGATCTACTACAACAGAAACATCTTGATAACACTGATGAAATCAGCACCAGAAAAAGATGAGCTGCATCCTGCCAAGAAAAGAGCCTTCCTAACCATCCGGGCTACCACATTCATCAACTTGTCATGTTATATTCCAGTAATCATATTGGAAATGTTCATGTATCTGCACCAACCTGCATATAGTTGTTCAGTAATATCTCTGTGTATAACATTAGTGTCTATTGCTAGTCTTGGACATCCATTGTTTTACCTGTCAACCCAAAGGAAGCTGCGCCTCTGCTTAAAGAGAGAAATGAAAGCCAGATGACTGTCTATCAGTCCATTCTTGTCATTTAAACTCAAGTTAAGGGCATTTAGATAGAGTGATAGACAGGTATATGTATGGGAGGGTGATGGGTATAACAGCAAAGATGCAAGGAGCAGAAATAGTGAAAGTTTTGATTAATTGAATCTTTATTTTGAACATGTTGAAAAAGTATAAAAAAAAATAGAATTAAAAGAGACAAATGAACAAAGCAAACAAAAGGAAAACGAGCAACCACAACTCCAAATAACGTAAAGTAGATACATTTAAATACCTGAGGTCAACCATCCGAAGCAATGGGGACCAGATGGATGAGGATGGGAGTGCAGGCAGCGTGGAGTGGGTGGAAATGAGTCTTAGAGATGAAAGAGGAAACTTTCAAGAGTGAAAGAGGTTTAAAAGATGGTCGTGAGACCTGCTATGGTTTGGTTTAAGCAGAATGGAAAAGATTAATAATTATTTCAGAGGGACGACTCAGTTTGACTTTGGAGACATTGTTAGAGAGGCTGTTTCCCAGAGAAACCTACCTGAGGGATTAATTAAGATCTATCGATCTATCTATCTATCTATCTATCTATCTATCTATCTATCTATCTATCTATCTATCTATCTATCTATCTATCTATCTATCTATCTATCTATCTATCTATCTATCTATCTATCTATCTATCTATCTATCTATCTATCTATCTATCTATCTATCTATCTATCTATCTATCTATCTATCTATCTATCTATCAATCAATCTATCAGGAGAGAGTGGATATACTGGCCAAAGGATGTTGAATATGGAGCCTCCAGGCAGGAAAAAATAGGAAGACCTCAGAAGATTCAGTGCAGTGAAAAGGGACATGGAGAAGGCTGTTACAGAGGAGGATGCTAAGGATAGAGTAAGATGAACACAGAGGTTAGCTAAAGCAAGGAGCTGTAAGAAATAGTCTCAGCTCCTTATTTAGAAATGTCTTTCTGTTAGCAAATGCAGAGATTTGTTTTCAATAGGAGGCCTTCTTTAAACTATTTAATGAACTGTGTGCTGTTTAACTGTTTTTTATATATTATAATACACATTACACCATGTGGGATAAAATATTTTGTCTGTTAGTAACACAGGATGAATTTCAGAGTTGCTGTTTACCGTAAATGTTCTTTCTTTTTTTTTATTTGATTATGTCACAGCCTGATCTGTACTAATACTGTGTGCTGCTGACTTTGACAAGTAGAGAGGGAAAGCTGAATGATCAGATTTTAGTACTGTCTATATTCATAAATGACTTTGTGCAGTGGTATAATATTTAATAGAACAGAAGTAATATTGTGCTGTTCCTGTACATTCACATGAAAATGGCCACAAGAAACTATGTGTTGAGATTCCTTCTGCTTTGCTTGTTGTTTTGAGAATATCACGTAAATTTAGAGCCGATGTTTAAGTGTAGGTTGTAAGAATCATGTTGTATTTATAAGTTGTTTACTTAAAATAAATAAAAATCAGGTCATGTGCAGGTTGCTGAGAAAAGAGGTGAAAGCAAAGTTTAAAAAAAATTGTTGCTTTAATGTAATAATTATGTTATTTATGTAATACTGTACACGGCATGATTAAAACATCTTATTAAAAACCAATAAAATGTTACATTGCTTAATCATTACAGTAGTCACTACACTAAAACCACAAACTGAAACAGTAAATGTAGTTCCATTTCTTTGGGATTAACTTTACTCCTTTAATTACACAGGAGCAGTTCTATTGGTGCTCTGCTCCTGCAAAAAAAAAACCCCTCCTTCATTGTTAAAAGGTGTTTATAACTGGCACAACTGAATGGTTTAAACAGGAGGATCCCAAACACCTGCAATAGATGCATTTTGTTTCAGAGACAGCTAAGTTGGCTTTTACAGCCAGCCAGTGGATTTGCAATGTTTTTGGTTTTAACCTACAAAAAATCAGTGTACAATAAGAAATTCTCTGTGTTTCTTCTTTCAGCACTTCCCACACATTTTATTTGACTTCTTTCTCGTATCACACCGCTCACATGCAAAATTGAAATGTCTCTCGAAATGCTGCTGATAATAGAGCTGTGTCAGTGTGATAGATTGTCTGTGGGTTACGGTATCTAATAGTGACTTTAATAAGTACCTGATCATACGTCATCTGCCATCGGCCAGGACCACACAGGCCCAGCAGTTTGTAGCAGAAGAGTTCACCCAGATGGTTCGCAGATAAGTTGCTCACACATCAGGTCTGCTGGCTTTTGGTTGCTAATTTGCGCTGCAGTCAGCAAAATAATGGTTATTATTTAAATTAGTGCATGGATCACCTGCAGAACGCCCGTACGCACTTCTGGGTGATTGTGCCTAAGTTGCCCCATTTAATATGGCTCAAAGTTTGTTATTGTCCCCACTTTTAAACATAATTTATAGCGCACTGCTCATGCTCCAGAACATGTGAAAATCCCAAAGCTGTTATCAGACAGAAGATCAGCCAAACTAACTGAAATAAGATTCTGGGATTCAGACTAACTCAGACTAACTAGCACTGTTGACCTGTCCCATGTTGAACATCATACTTATCTGGCTCAATACATACATACATGTACTCGTTGGATCATAGCAAAAGCAGGAATACAGATTTTTCTCATTTCACTCACAAACATGCGAGTCATTACTGAGTCTGCTTCCAGTGTCTTCTTTGTGACTTCAGGAGCATTTTGTGTTGCACGGGTCTCCGGATGAAAAGTAGTCGTACACACTGACCAGAGGAAACATGGTCACAGCTCCCAGCAGAGAGCCCAGCTGCACTACAGCTCCACACCACACGAGGGCGCTGTGGCCTTCATCACGGAGGATCACCCCAATAATCACCTTCACATAGGACAGGGTGAGAATAAAGAGGACCCAGGCCAACACCTGTGGAACAGAAGTAGGTGAGTGCTGCTGTGTTTCTGCTTATCACAAGGTAAAGAAGTGCAACTTGTCTCCCAACAGGAAACACTGTGAATTGTTTGAGTAACAGACGTCTACCAGTGCACTCACAATGATAACACCACCTGAGGTATCATTAACCAGCACTGGGCATGGACTCAGCACTGCCATGATCATAATATAAACTCCAACTCCAGTGCCAATCACTGTGAGGGCTCCCATGAACAGCAGGGATCTGTGAAATGAAACAAATGACATCCCGACTGCAGTTACAGATGCTCTAAGGTTGATATAATGTGGCACAAACATGTGAAGCTGTGGGGGAGGGGCCAGATGAACTATAAAGGAATTTGACATTAGTTGTGCTTAAACAGAGAAAAAGCTAAATAGCATTAGAAAAATATAAAAGTGTCTCCTGTAAGAGGGTTTAAGCAAGTTTTATTCAAACATTTCCATTATTTTTGCATTAAAAACTATGGAGAATATGAAAGAGTCCTGAAGATTTATTATTGTTTTAGCATTTACCTTGTTAAAATTGCCAATGGCACACTTACCTGATTGGTAAGAACATGGCGATGAAGCATGCCAGAGGGTTGGACAACGCAGCTAAACTGGCCGACAGGTGGTAGGCGTTGTTCCCGTACGGCATGCACGAGTAGGACTGCACCGAGGGAAGAACCGTGTTGCTCAGAGCGTTCACCCAGGCCAGAATCCCAAAGATATAAAACACCTCCATCCAGCTGTAAGAGCCGGTGCCAAAGCTGCTTCTGGGCTTCTGGTTTTCTGGTCTGTAAGGATCCATCATTGGCTTCTGCTCGACCAACTCCCTGTTTTTTGTTTTTTGTTTCACTCCGTTGGTGTATATGCTGTTTGGCTGCTCCCTGGCCACAGATGGATGGTAGTTCAGGAGCAGGAAAGCCCCCAGGCACACCAGCATCATGGCACTGAGGAAGAAGAAAAACACCTCAGTCGAGAAGTTTGCAGGCTGATACTGGGCCTGGAGGTTAGAGGTCACAGAACCGTTGGGAATGTTGAGGGTGTAGTTCACAGACTGTGTGCTGTTTATGCAGTGGACGACCCCTGCACCTTGGATCAAAGCCACAAGAGACGGCAGCAGGCCACTCACACCCTCCCCGATGTAGTAGGTGGTCAGATACTGAGACTTGAGACGCATCATGAAGGGCAGGAAGGTGACGGAGGAAGTGCAGTCAACAGCAGCGAGGAAGAAAGTTAAAACAAGGAGAGGCACGCTGCGAGCCACACCTGCTACAACCACAGTCTCCTTCCAGAAGAATCCCAGCAGGAAAGTTGCTACAGTGCCCAGGCCGATGATCACATATATGACAGCTCTCTCGTTCAGGGTGCCTGGTCGGAAACGATGCATCAGAGTGACGAAGAGAGGCCCGATGTTGGCCATCTGGATGATGACTGAGAGGTAGGAGGGCAGGTACCAAGCCTCTGGGATCTGGGGGACAATCAGAGGCAGCTCCACCCACAGACCGTTGATGGAGACCCAGGAGCCCATACCGAACAAACATGCCAACAGGTGAGTGAGAAGGGACATGTTGCTAGGTGGGTTTCTAGAATGAGACAAACAAGATGTTTAAAGTAGACCTTACTTATTTTATTTATAATGAAATCTCATATTTAACAATAAAATTTGATGACTCAGAACATTAGCTGTTGTGTTTCATTCTAGCTTTTTTAACAAATAGACCTCAAATTGCTCTTAAATGTTTTCTGGGTTCAGCATCTAAAATTCTGAAATGTTGTAAGAATATCTGTGATCACTCATATTATAAATGATATAGATACCATATAATGTATATATTGATGATTTACTCTACACAAAGAACATTATTAATGAAAGAAACCCAATAAAATGAGGAAGGAACCTCTCAAAAACTGCAGTTACCGTAGTAAACACCTCAGCCTAGCTCAAAATTGTCCCCATATCCTCTAATGTTAAACTATAGCTCTTATACAGTGTCATGCAGTAATGTGCAAAGGTTTTGCTTGAAAGGATGCACTGATCATCTAATTGCTCTTTGGTACCATAATGCTATTTTGTCTCTGTTGTGTTGTTGATATTTCATAGATTCAAGTAAAGAAATGAGAACAAATGATGTGTTTGCAACAGGCTGCTAGTAACAAAGTGCCTAAAGATACAAGCTAAAATGGTTCTTTGCTAATTTGGCTGTTTTGCAAAGCCAAGTCACTGGTTCATCCTTTGATGTGTGTTTTTTCTTTAATGCATGAATGCATCAAAGGTCTAGGACTGTACTGAAAAACCAGCCAATGTCCAGAGAAACAAACTTTGAAAGACACAGTGATTTTGGCCTCTGTGCCTAATTTTCCTCATCACAACAACTATAACAGTGGCGATTTTTGAATAACCTATTTATTTGGATATTGATGAAGTCTGAAACTGGGACCTTTGCTTTCTTGAACTGGTGTATTGCACTTATTGAGCTGGACCTGTTGAATGTGTTTGTGTCTTTTAGAACATTTTTCATTAAGTTAATATAATATGGAGACAGGTCAGGCCAGGTAGCGAGGAAAAAAAACATTGAAATGTGCAACACAAAAGGATAATACAGGAATGCACAGGTATCAACACACCATAACACAATAAACACAGACAAGCAACATGGGAAAGAGTTCCAGTGTGTACATCTGATCTGGGACCGCTACAATCTTTCGACTGCGCCTCCAGCTGACCCGATGTCCACATCATGGGGGAGGTAAGCGTTGGAGGTGGCGTTGGATCCGGGGTAGAGAGGGTGATGCGTCAGTGAGTGCTTATCAGTATCAGTATATGTATGTGTGTGCGTGTCCATAGTTCAGCTGAGACAGTGTCCTTCGCCCTGCCAGGCTAAGTAAACGGTCTTCCAGCCAACCCAGGTGGCCTTGTAGGGAATGGGAAGGAACAGACTCAACACAGTCGTTATCAGGGAGTTGTTGTTCGGCTCCAGCCTTGAGCTGGCGCCGAAGGGGTAGCCGGGTTATGATGGTAATTGAGAATTTCAAGCTGTTTTTTAACACTCCGACACTGGTCTCTCAGTCTCCCGTTAATAGCTGCGAGCTTCTCCGTGATGTTATTAGCCGTCGATTCTGTGGTCTTGTCACTCTTTTTGCTCACATAGCAGATTCTGAGACCTCACGACCGCAGCCAACTGATCCGAGGTGTAATCCAGCTCCGCCCAGAGATGTTGTTCTGAGTTGATTCTTTCCTGATGTAATCCAACATACATACGCTCAAAGGTGTTATTCTGAGCATTCACTGCTGTAATTCTCCGATAAGCCAGGGCCAAGCCAGCTCCGATCAGCAAGAACCCTGTTATCATGGTTCCGAATAGGTAGATATCTTCAGCGTCCTGGCCGATCCTCTGCCACCCGTCCATCGTGTATCCGGCAGGGAAAGTCCCTCCAGGGCACTCGGGCTCTCCCGAGCCCAGAGTTCTCGTTAAAGGGTGTCAATAGCATTCAGAGACCAGTTGATCAAATCCATAATTCTCTTTTAGGTTTTAGACACAGACTGTGAGAGAGTGTTCCAGGGAAAGTAATACAAAAAAGACACGAGACTAGACAAGGACATAAGAACTAGCAGGAAAGATAAGGGAGAGGAGAAAAGTGCGTCCGCCTCCTCCGAGAGCCAAAGGCTGAAAAATGGTGTATGGTGGGGACAAAAAGTTTAGCCATAAAGTATTAAGACTTTATGGTTTGAGGTTCTGATTAGGATCAAACTTGGCAAGCAGTGCTTCCAGTTAAAGTAATGCGTGACCTTCTATGTTTATTTGACTGTTCCGATAGCTCTCATGGAGAAAATACTTTATTGGCTTAGCTGTGTCATTCCATCTGCAAAGAACTGGAAATAATTAAACTGAATAAAACCTTAAGATCCCAGATCTGATAATGTGTCACCATCATGAAGCATCCCAGTAAAGGTCCAGCACTTAACTACTGGGCTAATGTTTACTCCTATTTTAAGGAGCTTATCTTTTCATTGTTTTATTCAGACTGTCACTTCTGTGAGATGGAACAAGTTACATGCAAAGTGCAGCGTATAAGAAGATGTTTAAATAGTCTGGCTTCAATCTGCGTCAGATATGAAACATACAGCAAACAAAACACGACCACCTACCGCACTGTGATCTATTACATAACCTGAGAAAACATCTGATCAGTGCATTGTTTATTTAAATAGAAACTTCATGCAGTGGAGACACTGATCAAAGAAACTGTAAAATAATAGTTTGAAACCAGTGCTACAAAAGACAGTTCTCCAAGTCCCTGAATTTGTTCCTTTACCTTATGAACACATTATTATTATAAAAAAAAGTCAAATAGTCTCAAAATAAACTATTCTGAATAAATGGCTATGAGCATAATGAAAAAAACAAACTTTTTTTTACAATTTTTAAATACTTTCATCGTTAAACTCAGAATATGCATCGCTGCAGATACTCACATTCAGTTTGGTGGAGTTGTTTGAAGAAATCTGCAGACACAAAGGAAAGGAGAAGCCAAAGTCCTGCTCAATAAACTGTGTGTGTGTGTGCGTGTGTGTGCGCCAAAGGATTAAATCCTGCTTGGGGCGAGTGGGTGTGCGAGCATGTAACCAACCATGACACACGTTGGGTTAACTGATCATTGTCCTAACTTTACATATCTTCACTCTCAGGGCTTTTGCATCATCACATGTTAGGATTTCAAGTCACAGCAACTGTTTCTTTTGCCTTGAAGGAATCGTTGAGTCGGCACTCAAGAATCTACAGAATCCATTAATTCTGCTTAAGGGGATCATGGGAGCAGAGGGGGAAATGGGTGTTTACGTGGCTGAGTTACAAAAACTGCATGAAAAACAAGTGCTGTAACTTGCTAATTTTATTCATCAGCTGATTTTCTTACATTAATGTAAAGCCAGGGTTCTCAAAGTGGGGCGCACGAGAAAAAGTTGGCCCATGGCAACACTTTATGTGGTCTTTGGCAAAAGCAAGGGAAGAATGCACTCTACTGTACACTCATTTCATTTATCTACAAGTCATGCATTATAAAGCACTGGAGGATGAGAAGGGAACCTTTAAACCCTGCTTTAAAGGAACGGCTTTACATTTGCACACACCAACCTCTCATCCTTCAGCTGTAAAAACCACAATCTGGCTTTTTTTAGTAGCTTCAGGTTTATTTCACATTTTGAAATGAAATCATTTCAGTGGTTAGTATTGTTACCGTTCTAATTTTTCCCAAGCAGCTGGTGGTGGCGTCAACAGGAGTAGAATTAGATAAATTATTAAAGATGGTCAGACGATAGTTAGAAGCTGCGTGTGAATTAAGTGCGTGACAGGTTCGTGAATTGACACTGGATGGATGTTGTATGTCCAAACCTGGTGGGGAAAAGGGATAATCCCTCCACACCACTGCAGCAGTTTACTGACCAAAGGAGCAAAATGCAACATTGTATAACTGGACACCTGATTTACTGAATTTGACCAACGTACTTTCTTTATTTGGCAAAGTGAATGTGGATAAAAGCTCAAAGCCATCAGCTGTGTGCCTATAAAATATGGAAATAAATTTCAAGTCACTTTAGTATTCTTACATTGTTAAAATAAATCTTTCATTGCAGTTTTCCAGTGTTCTACTTTACAGTCTGTACTGTCTGTTTTCACTACTGTTCTGCAAGTATCTGCGGACAGGATGGCGGCTTCCACAGGCGAGCGCTGCAAATCTGTAGCAGCCAAAGAGGTTACACACCTTTTTCACACACATTTTTCCCTTGGCAACTGGTGATTGTCTCAAATCCTGTGTGACTGAAGCCTAATGTTAGCTACTGTCTCTACAACTATGCCAGATGTGCAAATTATTTTAGAAATGATGTTTATATATGGCACAAAGACATTTAACATTTTAAAAGTTGACTCATTCATGACATATGAGTGTAGATGACTTATGTTTAAAAAAAAAACTCTTTCCAGAACAAACTGCAAGCTCAAAAATACAAAACGCAAAAACCAAACTATCCTCAATACTGATATTTTAAAACAACAAAGAGCAGTTTTACCCATGAACAGTTTTATTCATAACATTGTTATACAAGACAACGTAAAAAGAAGAAAAAAACAAAATAAAACAAAATCCATGAATTACATAAATGCAAAATTCAATCCATTTGAAATTACCAAATAACATTTCATTGGTAATAAAACAAAAAGCCCAGTATTACATCGAAATCCTCAAGGCAGCTTAACAGATGTTCTTCCTGTGTAAACAGAAGAGTTTAATAAAGCTGATGCTGGGTAGCAGCATGGTTAGTAAAATTACATTAACTGCATATCAAAGACGCAAAATCATTACTTTAAGGACTTAGAAATAAAATTCCTTGTTCACTGATTAGTGACTGTCAGGCATGTATCGTTCCCTTAAGATAACATCCCAAATGTCAAGTAAACTTAAATCTAAAGAAAACTTTCCATCCATCCATTTCTTCCGCTTATCCAGGGCCAGGTTGCAGAGGCAGCAGCCTAAGCAGAGAAGCCCAGACCTCCCTCTCCCCAGCTGCCGCCTCCATCTTGCCCAGGAGAACACCAAGGTGTTCCCAGTTCAGCCGAGAGATCAAGAACTGAATGGATCTGACTGCAAAAAGTTACTTCGTTATAAATTCTACCATTTTCATGAGGAGCTTAACAGAAAATCATAATCTGTTTTAAAAAAATCTATTCCTGGCATAAAAAGGAGGTAGCAACACATCTGAATATAAAATAAAACATTAATGCTGCCTTTCTACATTGAAAGAATGTAGTTAGTGAATCATTCGGTTCAGCATCAGTACATGAGGACGAACAAGTTAGCTGTTGTGTCTGAGTGCAAATAACCTTTCACGTGATAGCTGAGATGGGAAAAGTCCATCAGCAGCTCCTCTGCTGCGATAAACAACCTGACCTACAAAGGTTCATTATAAAAAGCACAAAGCACTTTAAAGGTTTTACAGCATCATATGCATTTTACATCCCCCATGGCCAATCCTGCAACACAATGCTCCCATTATTTGGGAATGTTTTTACTTCCACAGACTTGAGACCTCTGAATCAGGAGAGGCTGCCTCATGTGAGACATGATCCTCAAGAAGAAGTAGCTGCAAGAAATACACAATACATCTCTCAGGAACCACAAAAACAGAATTCATTTGGCCATTTCCCATGGGGCAGGAACGAGAGGCGTGTGTGCTTACAGAAAAACTGCACTCATCTCACTCCTGCTAACTGCATTCTTGGACACATTCTTGGCCTCTGGTAAACACGTTGTAGATGTTGACCAGAGGAAACATGACGAGAGCTCCGATAAGAGAGCCGGCTTGGATGGAGATGCCGCACCACAGCAGGGCGGCGTGACCCGCCTCGTGAAGCAACGTACCAATCACCACCTTCAGATAGGAAAAGGCACCAGTGAAAAAAATCCAGGAGATGACCTGTAGGGGGCACAAATGGGCAGGTGAAATCAGTGAAGGATATTATTTAAAAACAGAAGAAAATGTGATGAGACTGAAGGAGTGTGGGCCTCTAAAGATCTGTTGTAACTCATGTGGACTCCTGTCTACAATTCTCACTGCTTATGAAGGCATTTGGATTCATTTTCAGAGGTAAAGTTATACCAATGTACTGTTTTGCGTCATAAAGTACACTGACTGAGGAACTGGGTGCGCGTGAGTGTAATTTACACTCCTATAATCACCGATCGGCATATCGCAACCTGCTCCAGGTATCGTTACTGAGCAAGCAACAAGATTTCACTGATTGTGAGGTTTTATTAACACAGCTAGCAGGCTATATTTAAAGCTCACTATAAAGATGGGCTATTATTCTCAGGAAGCTGTCATTAGTAGACTTCTTAATCATGATTATTAAAGGTCAGAAAAGTATTCAGTACAAGTTCAGGGGTAAAATTTAAAACAATTTTTATACAAGATGCATCACAGCAAAAAATGTGATGACTATATATGGGAAAAATGTTTAAATAAATAAAAACATGCAGAAATGTTAAATATGAAGTGAAAAAAAATCTCTTGGGATTTTTGATTCTTAAACACAAAGACAACTGATCATCCAGTACTAAATAATGCAGGTCTGCAACCAAAAAACTGCATAGGATATGTTGACTGTTTCTTATAGATTTTCACTGAAACCGTGAAAAATCTCTTTAAAATTCCATCACGTCAGTTTTTTAGTTTAATTACCGGTACGTGGACAATTTCCCTTTTCAAACTGAAATCTGGTGTCTTATACTTGAGTCAGAAAAACATATCCAATAATGATTTCGTACATTGATTTAATATTTCTAAGCGTGAGACTCAAGAAAAATACAAATAGAAAATGCGAGGTATTGAGGGGGGTCAGAAGGAGGGGGAGGGTAGGGTGGGTTTGGCGGTGTGAGGAGCTCAGATGATCACATCCCAACAGGTTTATTTTGTTCATAGTGAAAGGTAAGAAATCTCAGAAAAAGTATGCATGGTTCATTTTAATAAAATATTGATTTTTTTTTCATCGCTGTTGTGCTTTTTTTAATGTAAGCTCCTCATGTTTTGCAAAACTGTACATGATAGAGGGAAATGGAAATCATTTTTGGATTCAGCAGCATAACAAACATAAAATTTAACAAAAATATCCCATGAAGCTGAATTTTTTTTTTTGCAGACCTGCATAATCAAAGGCTCTATGAAGGCACTCTTTAACCTTAAAATTTCTAGTTCCTAGTTTGCTCTGATTTGGCGCATTGTACATTCACCTAAAAGCGAAAAGATCCTCAGGGAGGAGACACAAATCCCTTTGAGGGTCGAACCAGGAAGGGCTTAATGAGATTCCCTAAAATTACTAGTTTAAATTTGGGAATTCGTTTTCTTTCTTTATATAAAATCAGCTTTATTTTTATTTATCATGCCCATTTAGAAATGTATCCATTGTTGTTATACTATAGATGTTAACTAATTTTATTTAAACATTAAGCTTAAAAATAGTAATTTTGATTCATTTATTTGTTTAAATAAATAAATCAAATTGCTCATGTTTACAGCTCCTAACTGAGAACCACAGGCTACGTAAGGAGCTAAGATGGCCACCACTTCCAGAGGATCATTCCCTTCCCCATCACCCATCCAACATTTGTTGCCTCTATAAACAGCTTTGTTTGCTTGTTATTTCTGGCCTTGGCTTACAGACCAGATTATTTCTGCTGAAATAATAAACACAAAGTTGTTCAAAGTTGTTTTTGTGGCTGCGTACGACATTTTCAGGATGTGTCTCAGCCTCCTTGACGGGATGTAACACCCCAGCCCAGAAATATATGAACCCACTCACCACTAAAGCCACACCAGCATGGCTTCCTAGGAGCGGCGGGCAGGGGCTGAGGGCCGCTAACGCCATGAGATAAGCAGCAAATACACCACCCACCAAAGCCAAAAATCCCAGAGGTGTAGAGGATCTGGAAAAGACAAGTTTTCATGAGAAGAAGTCCAAATATAACAATGAAATCTCACAAATAAGTCTTTATTTCTATGTTCTCACCTGA